TCGCTGCACCAATTTAATGCGGACCGATGAGATCTGTTGATACCGATGCATCACGCCTAAAGCACGTGCTGAAATCACCCAGCGGATATAGTCAGTGGCTGGCTGCTCGGCACAGACCGTAACATGGAGGATAACTGAAAGTAGAACTGATCACGCGTGTCATCAGGATAACACACGGTCGGTCCCAGGCGGGTCTCGCTGAGCCCCATAATGTCAGTGTTGTAGCGCGCCAGCTCCATCGCGACCTGTGCAGTGCGTTGCTCGGGGCGTTCACTCGAGTTCTGATCGAGTAGTGTGCGCAGGTTCCTTACCCGATGTTGAACAATTTACGCTCAGACGTGCGATTGTATTGGTTGAAAATCACACGCATGGTGGTGGTTCTGTTTCGGAGGTTTGTTTGAGGGACTCCACCGGGAGACTTTGGCACAATTACCTGATCAACCTAGTACGGTAGTCAAACGCGTCTTTGATGAAGCGCTGCTAGGACATGAGAGCAAAGGATAGGATGGTTTAGACATGTGACACCGTATCCTTAACCGAAGCCAATGGATAAAACTAGGGTCAGAGGGGTTACGAAATCAAAAGTGCTGATGCTGTGGAAGCTGCGTTGGGGAACGTCAGCTGAATCAGGTTTGAGGTCATCGCGTGCCTTCGGCTGCACTTCTACGAATATGGCCGGAAGCGATGCCGAAAGAAGACGACAGTTCGACACCTATGCTAGCACGACGGTCACTTCGTGAGAAGCGGAGCATATGATTTTATCAAGCAGGTTGCAGTTTATCTAACGGTGGAGGGCGATTTTGATTGGTTGCCAAGGTCCACTGTCTGTCCGTCGATGCACGTGACTCGTGCGGGACCAAAAGTGGTTTTAACCAAGGAGATAATGAACTTGACCGAGTGTACATACCAAAGTCTTGCTCTTTTACGTGTCATAATCTTACTTGTCAACATCCAAATCAAGCGCAGCCAGGGATAGGATAACAAACGACAAATGAAGTTAAGCATGTAACAGCATAAATCCACAGGAAAATGTAAAGGCTGAATGCCGTGACGGTAAAGCGAATGGTTCTGGGTTATATATGAAAGCGGTAGCAGCGTACTAAATAGGCGCTGAGGCTCACCTATTCAACTTATCCGTCGCCTTTTCAATATTGGATGCGTTAATAAGGTGCTAGGTATGTTCGAAGGTGGTGCACGGGACCGCATTCGCTACAACACCATTTACACGTCGACGGGCTGGGCTCCATCGGTGCCTGTCGCTTGAGCTACCGGCGTTTCCCTTTCCGATGTACCTGGGCAACAGCATACTTGGTCGGATCAAGCTATTGTCGACGATCCGTTTTCATCTACTCCCAGCACCTGTCCTTATACGCTTGTGATAAATTTATGTTGGACATCTGCTGATAATGCATATGCGCTTTGCTTGAATTTCATTTTCTCGCATGCAGTTGGGTACACATCACACTTTACGGTATCCTGGTCGCATTCATAAAGGTGGATCACAGGAACGAATGCCATCGGGCAGTAATTAGTGGGTTATGCACGACTGGCACAGGTCAATGGGAGTGATGATCTTGTACGTCCACATAATGGGAACACGGATTACATTGAGCTGTTATTGAAAGAACCTAGCGGATGTTAGATTCATAGGCGTTGCAGTTAACTTGCAAGTCTTTGGGCCAATGCCATCTGTACCAAGAGGGTCACGTTTGTACAAGGATATCCTCGGCATTAAAGGATGCGTACCTAAATCTTGATGTTCGCAGGATCTCCGCAAGTAGGATGTTAGGTGTTTTCAAACTAACAAATATGAGAGAATTAAGACCAGCCTATTGCTGTGGATAGATCACGAATTCAGCGCTGTACTCTGCGGAGTTTGTTGACGTGCCTGAAAAGCATTAGTGGGTAACAGCGAAAGTGCATCACGCGATTCTGTTGGTATCCACCCCATCTCTAAGTACCAGTTTTATACAGTTGTTTCACTGTGTTGATAGGTGCCCGAATCCTCTTCGCTCAAGGAGTCTAGGTGGGCAGTAAGACCAGTCCCTCCAGGCCACATTTTTCTAAGTCTTGTTCCTTATGAAAAAAATACGTCTTCTTCCAGCGAGAGATCTTGGCTTTTGAAGTTCTTGCCACTAACCTGCTGAAATGGTCCAAGACACCTCATTCGGCTGGGTTGGACCATTTGGTTGCTTTTATGGGGTAACAAATTTATAGACGATTATAGTTCCTGACGACCTGGGATAGTTTGGTGCCTTCCTTGGTATAAAATGCATAACGCATGTAGCGGAACGGTAGTGTTGCATGATCGTAAGGGCTCTGAGGAGAACAGATCTTTGTTGTAAGCGGTTTACTCAGCGGAAGTGAGTCCTCAGGAACAACGTCAATCCTCAGTTATAAGTGGTTGGTAGCGATGATGTTTCCTCCGTGCACCTAAAATTGGAAATTTCGTCCCTCCGTCAAAAGCAATGGAATACATTGCCTTTCAATTCTGGCGTAATCGAACTTCGGCAGTGTAGATGAAAGACTATCCCTTAAGTGCCTCAGGTAGCGTCTGTTGGGCTGGCATAGAACTACAGTTCACAGTAGACCCATCTATTTTGGTTGTCGACTCTGATCATAAGGAGGCATTTCAGATTTGTGCCCGTGTGGCACGTGGAAAATATGAGGCTAAGTTGAGTAGGTTTGAACTACGTCTGAATGACGGAGGAACATAGATTCACTAATTCATCCTTTTGTGTAGCAGTTAAGGCGACTCCTTCTAGCTTGAGCGAACTTCAAGGAATAGTTAACCTACCTTTTTCTGATGTTTGTAGCTAAGGTCTTGACTACAGTGGTGTTAGTACATCCGAGCGTGAAAGGGGGGGTGAGTTGATACAATGTACGGCCTAAAGATGACGGAAAGGACCTTCTTGGTGAATACGACCACAAGATTGCCTACTATCACTTGGTTACGTGAAGGCCTTCGCCGAAATCTTACGGCGTGGTTGTTACACGTGGAGGGAATTGAGGTGCTTGCGTTTTATCAAACTCAGCTCGATATGAAGTCATTTATCTGTCCGGTAGCCGTTGTCATTGACCATGGGGTTAAGATCTCTTTCTTTGGAGACAGGGACAATGGCATATTAACTAATCTGGTGACTGGATAAGCGAATCAAATGTGGTCTGTTTAGCTGTCGTCCTCTCAGGCCAACCTATGCTAAGGAGCACCTTGCCTGCGTGAAGTGCAGGCAAATATTCGTAATAATTGGGTGCGTAACGAATTACAATTTATACTGTAAAATCCCAAGCGATTCAGGACCCTCTTCTGTTGAGATGTCCATAGAGTTGTCGTGTAAACCCTTAATAACATTAATGACAATAATAAGGTCTTACACTTCTCCATACCTCATGACATAGCCTGATCACTGTATATATGGTTGTGCCGAAAGTGGCTCCTAGTAAACAGGTCACATGTTCCAGTGGGCAGAAATGTATAGTGGGTGTCCACCGCGGGTTATAAAGAGCACATCACTGCAGCAATCTGCAAACGTTTACTCCTATGGCCAAGTAGTGGAGAACATTGATTGCAGTGGCGTCACCTTTTTAATTCTGTCACAATCGGCGGAACCAGAAGCCTATCCTCTTATTTCGACCTATGTTAACACGGCTTTCCCGAAGAACTTATCCTCACCGGAGGCAGCAAAACAAAGCGCGAATCAAGAAGGTGGGCAATAACTGGATTAGTGCTAATACTAATAATAATAATAATAATAATAATAATAATAAACCGCCAGCTGTACACCGTAACGGCGCTTCGCTGCTATGCGACCACCACCAGTCGCGCGTGAGCTGAGTATACCGCGAGGTCGCCCGTCCCTACGCAGATCCGAACCGGTGACCTTATGGTTGCAAACCAGACACGCATACCACTCGGCTACCGGCCGATAATATACCATTAAACTGGATACGGTGTAATAAAAAGCAATGTCGGTGACAAGTGCGTTTTCGATTATTAAATAACGATTGTAAGTAATTGAGAGATGTCGTACTGGAAACAAAAGGCATAGCACGAGACAGACGCACAAGATGTTGTTTATGAAATTGTAATTGATCAGAAGTTGAAGGTTTTAGAACCATCAGGCTTGTGCACAACTACCGATAGATTTATTATATGTGCACCTGTGAGCCAACTGGCTAGATCTGAGAAGACCGTTGGAATTTGCAAAGAATGTAGTTCCAAGACCGAATACCAAGGCGAAACGTTGATAAGTAGAGGCTAATCGAAGACAAAGAAAAGTAAAACCGACTAACAACAAGATTGTAGAAAATGTGAAGTGTGATAACAACTCCTGACGAATTTGGCAGTAGCCAAATATGTCTTGAGGTAAAAGCAAGTGTGGCCGACAGGCTATGTGGAAAGGAAGACGGTGAGAGGTCAGATCGGTATGAAGAGTGTGCATGACCCAAAACGGGCAGTGCTAAACGGATGCGCTAGACGAACTGCGATTCATATGTTGTGATATTCAAACGTTGCTGCACTTACAGCATCCGTTGGCTTGGAATACGACTATCATCAGAACGCTGGACATTTCAACCAGTCTGTCAACACGGCTGATGAATCATGTGATATTTTTGAACGACCCCACTGATTCGAGGATAATAATGCATGAACCATAACTTCACCCTGGTAAATCTAATAATGGCTCATTTGTACTCGATTGTTTTATCAACTACCTCCACTTCTTCAGATTTCTATCCATCTTCACAAGAGCCACCGACTCACTACGTTCCTACTGAGAACGTCCCACACATCTTCGAGCCATTCTCCCCGAGGTTGGACGTTACTTTTTGCCTCAACGTAGTCGAAATAATACTCAATTTTCTAGGATGCATTATCCGATATTTTAGTCAAGACATACGAACATGCTAGTGCAATTTTCTTTGACTCCCAAAAATAGGGGCTTTTCATATAGTCGTTTTATTGCCCTTTTGCTGAGATGTCTCTTTTTACTTACCAGGAAACTCTCAGAGCAAGAGGTACAAATGAGTGGCTTAGCTGATGAATTGGAACAACAATTCAAGGATGAGAAAGATCGGCTTCTTGTAAAGGTGGGTTAGTGTGCATAAACTGAATTTTCTTTTAAAACTGTCTCTTGGAATAACATGTCGTAACACGCATCTACTTTATTTTCTGGCTTTTGTTAATGAAGCGTGAACGACAACCGCTATAGGCTAATAATCGATACACATCGACCGGATGTGGGGTCGGTGTGACTTTGATTCGGCCCTATGCCATGAGCCATTCAACATTGTACGCATGGTGCGTTCGGTGGAGAATGTGGTCATTTTCGTATGAGTACGATATTGCACCGGACTGAGTGTCCGCTGCTTCAATAGTTCAATTTTTCAATAGTGTATGGTGGGATAAAAAACAATAACTTTACAAGACCCACAGGATGGCAAATGGAAGAAAACAAAAGTTTCAGGTGTGACACAAAAATATCAGTAAGTTAGACACTGCAGTTTGTCGTACCGTTATATAATGTGTATCATGTAAGTGCAAGTCCAATAGTCTTTCGAATGTCTCGATGTTTGGAGCGTTCACCACATGCGATGGCAGTGCGTTCCAGTGCGGACAGACACTAAGAGAGTAAAAAAACTTTCTACAATCTAAACGGGAATATTGAGTCACAAATGTTAGTACATGGCCTCGGCATCGTTTGTCGGCAGATAATGTTAACAGCGACTTACATGGATGGTCCTCTTCTCTTAGTATCCGGTAAGTGAGGATCAGATCACCGCGAAGTCGTCGGTATTCTAAGGAGTACAGACCGATCGAACGAAGGCGCAGTTCATAACTAAGGCCCGATAGACCACGTGTTGCCTTAGTGGCTCTTCTTTGTGGTTGCTCCAGGAGACGAATGTCCCGTTTTAACCACGGATGCCATGCCTGCACCGCATACTCGAGGTGGGGACGAATGTAGGCGTTAATCAATAATGGCACGAGTTGCCGCTCGAAGGTACCGAGCGCTCGCCTCAAAAGCCTCAAGTTTAAGTTCGCTATGTTAGCTGCCTTTGAACATTGGAGCGAATTACCCAGACCTTCTTGCACGATGACCCCTAAGTCTCTTTCGTTGCTCACCTGTTTTATAACGCGCTGCCCCAGGTGATATGTGTTGCTGCAGTTACTGCGCAGCGACAACAGGTGACACTTTTCGGGGTTCAGGGGTAGTTGGTTGTTTACTGCCCATTCGTGAATCCGGTTCAGGTCATCCTGCAGATAGACAGGGTCAGATGTTGACTGAATAGCTCGCCACATCTTAGCATCGTCGGCGAATATTTGCATAGGTGATTGAATGTTGGCAGGGAGGTCGTTGATATAGACTAAAAAGAGTAACGGGCCGAGAACTGATCCTTGGGGTACGCCGCTAGTGACGCATAGGCTATCGGAGTGGGTGTTGGCGATCCTTACCTCGATTCTTCTGTCGTATAAGTAACTTTCCAACCATGTGAGCAAGGATCCGTGGATACCATAGGCCGCAAGCTTTCGGAGAAGTGCTGGGTGATTGACTCTGTCGAATGCCTTGGAAAAGTCTAAGTAAATCACATCTACGGGAACTCCCTCGTCAGCAGCCCTGGTCCATGAGTCCCGAGCAAGTAGTAGATTGGTGAGGCAAGATCGTCCGCGTCTGAATCCATGTTGGAGGTTGGAGATGATTTGTAGACTTTCAAAATATCTCACCATTTCATCAGCGATTATAGACTCCATCACTTTTGATAGAACAGGAAGGAGAGTAATAGGTCGGTAGTTGGCAGGGTCTGACCGCTTACCTCCCTTGTATATCGGAGTGATAAGTCCACGTTTCCACTCAGACGGAAGTGTATGAGAATCAAATAGAAACTGGAAAAAGGTTGCAAGGTGGACTGCCATGGTGGGTGCAAGGGTTTTAAGTACTTTCGGACAGATCTTGTCAATTCCCGGCGCACTATTTTCCCTGAGCGACTGTAATTTCTTTGCCACAGATGTAGGGCTAAAGTTGACCGTGGATAAGCCGACGACATTTGCTGGGATGTAGCAAGGCGATGGTTCCATGGTGTGTCTAGCCACTGAGACAAACTGCATGAGCAATGCGTCCGCGGTCTCCTCTTCAGTAACCGTTAGGCCATTGACCGTCTCTAGTGGTGGTATTCCCGTCTTAACCTTCCTTTTGTCATTCACATACCGGTAGAGCAGTTTGTGATTGCTAGTAAATTTGCTTACCATAGTTTCCTGCCATTCGTACTTGTCAGCTTTAAGGAGTGAAGTGCAGTAGTTTCTGACTGTTTTGTAATGATTCCACGTGATATCACTTGGACCTAGCAAATGACCCCTCCAAGCCTCGTCTCGCCTATTCAACCACTTACGTGTTCTACTCCGGATCCAGTTGTTGCTCCGTCGCGAAACTGGTAATGGTACGTCTTTTGAAGCTGAGTGTAGGACCCAGTTTATTTTGCCTTTCAACACTTGCCAGGCATCATTCGCCGAAGTGTGCATCTGGAGGTCCCAGTCAACGGTTGTCGCTATAGTGTGAAGCTTGGAATAGTTGGTGATGAATCGTCGGGTTTCTGATTCTTTGTCAACCATACTGGCATAACACACATAATCAAACGTTAGAACTTAACAATCGCTACAACCTAGCGGGGGTTGTATGAAACCGACTCTTTTTTTAAGAAGGCGCACTAACTAGCACGGTAGGCGCCTTCGCTTTAGGTTACTTTACTGGGTAATCGACCATCCATTCCCAACAGATAGAATTACTTGCCGCACCGAAATCGTTGCATAAAATTGGTCCACGAGAATAAACCGAAGCACAATCAGGATCTAGCGATTAACCTTTGTTCGGACCGTAAAATGCTTGGTGGACAAGTAGGCAAACAGTACGGATAACAACCCCGAGATACTACTGAATGGGTAATATATGGGCAAGAGCAACCTTCACGAACAGTAGCCGATGTTGTCCCGAAAACAATTCGTTCCTACCCTCCATACCACACTGTCGTACCAAGCCTTTCTCAGGTAGACCACACAACCATCAGCCTTTCACCAGGTGAATTCCACGATGGGAATGCTTTCTGCTTGATCACGAGTATCCTCTTGCGAATTGCATTTAACCAAAGACATGAAGTTGTGTGGTCCAAGCGACCCACTTGTGAAACCGCAAGATAGATAGTGCGCTCTACTCTCAAGAGTTTTCCATGCGCCATCTGCACCCAGCGCAGCCATTATACGCCCTTTCGATTCGGATTCACTTCCTGTATGCAGTGCGCATCTTTTCAGGGAACTGCCACTAAGGATCGTGATTCCCCTCAACTCAAGCTGTTTGTACACGTCCCGTGCTCAGAATCCTGCATGCAACCTTGTTGTTTATTAAAAATTCAAAGCTGCGAAATTGCAGCTTTCTCCGTGCTATCCGGTGATATAAGAATTAATCCTACAGGACGATAACTGTAAAGCTACGATGCACTGTGACTTTCATTTATATTCGTCCATCGATGACTCAGTCTCTGATATCCACCCAGTACAAGACATGTTAAAGAGCCAGGCCCCAACGCGAACCAGTATCAACGATAAAGCAGCCAAACTGCATATGCGCATGTGTCATTCCCTCAACAATTCCACCTAAGATGTTCCAGGAAAACCGCGCGAATGTGACAACGAATTTGAGAATCACTCACCCTGTACCTCACGTGACGGACGGGTGCAGTGTTCAGCTGCAACAACAGCCGTCACCGAGAATGATTCCACTCAGCGGAAATGTGGTGAATCGAAACACATCCGGGTGGTTGCGACAGGGTTGGCCTGCTTAAGCTGTGTAATTACAATCAACCAAGAGTCTAGTGGCGTAAGTCAACTGGAAGCAAAGGGGCACAACAATGTTCCTGATGTGCTTTGATTTCGCCGGGTATGCCGAGCTATCCCAATTGTCAATTTGCATTGTGTGCTTGAAAAGGTGTGAAAAACTGCCTGAAACAATGGAGCAGATGGCCAGTTCAGGGAATCCCTACTGGAATCGAAGAGAACCGATCCTGTTTCCCAGCTGTGAAGGTCGACGTAGAGGAAGTTTGACCCATCACTCTTCTCGATGATGCACAGCTCTTACGTGCATCCTCACCTTGAATGCGCCATCTAAGCTTGTCGACCTTTTTGAAGTGTGACCTACAGGTTCTAGCGACACCACAACGCATGGCAACAATGAACGCCAAGTATTTGCACATTCTGTATTACCAGCCAAGACTGAAGTTACTGAGAGTCTTCAGCAGGCGCTACCGAAGGCTGCGCAGCGATCTCATATTAGGGTACCAAATATTTAGTGACCTCGACTAAGTCTGCCATCATTTTCTAATATTTAAACGCTACTCCAAGCTCGCAAGTAGCTACCTGCAGCTGAGTGATTAATACAGCCGTTTAGAATGTCCACGGAATTACTTTTCTTCATAATTCTGAACCGTGGAACTGTCTCCCAAACTCAACTGTCTCCTCCTCTACTTTGTATATTTACAAAAAACGACTGAATCTTGACATTTACTCCGAGCACTTCGGTACCAAAGCTATGCTACTGTGGAATATATATTATCCTCCCTCTACCGGATTAACGTGTCACATGGACTCAAGTTAGTGGTACATGAATGAGTATATTATTTTTATTTGCAGACACAAGCATCAAATATCGCTGCACTGCATGTGATTCGTTATGCTTAAATTCAATTTACTTACACTGACGTCATCGAGCAACGTATTTAACTCGATAGACGCCTAAAGAGATAACTCGCATATTTTTTGGTTTTGCAGTTTTCACCCCAAATGTCTTACTGGATTTGTTAAGAACCGTTATTTTGTCCATGATAAATCCTTTTTCATTGCTCCATGGAGTAATTTGTACCACGCTTCGGGCCATTTTTATGGTCTCTTTTTGACATACGAGTTACCATCAGGCTGAGGAATGCTATCGTCACACTGACTGACATAACATCGACCGTGCAGTATCTATGCACTACCACCTGATATCCCTCTTTCTTGTGCTTTTCAAACGGATGAATACTCATTGGTTACTTCGAGTGACACAACACAGCTATATGGTTACAGCAGACGGATTACCTACATTGGTCGCATACTAGCAATGCGATGACAGTTAGCGCAAGCTGCTCCGAGGCTGTTGATATCAGAAAATGCTCACAAAGTCATGCAGAGATATGGAGTCTGTGATTCCATGCTGGGCAGGATGGGCAGCTTCCTGCTTTGGCAGCGGGTGAGTGTAAAAATTCGTGGGTAGCCAAATGGCCCACATCAAAATTGCTTAAACGTAACTTGTGGGGTGCGTGGCTCAAGTTCAATACTGGAACCAATCCTATTCCAAGCTTCTGTATATAATCTGACAAGAATATTATTTACCGAAAATAATTTCAAACTAGGGGGCGCCAGCAAGACATAGTGATCAGCCAACATTTCAGGGTGATGTCGGTGCACTTAACTACGATACGTCCAGAATATGCTTCAGTTTGCTGCATCAAGAACAAAAACTTGGCATACACTGCTAGCATGCCCAAGGCAGCCAGTTTGGAGGACAGGTACTTCATCTGATCTCTGAGTGAATTGATCTAAGCGTGGTTGTAGATCAATCACTTTCTACTAAACGCTTGTGGATGACTCCAGATTGAATATAGTGTTCAGGCTTAGCAGCATTGGTATGGGCACCGCAAACGACGGCGATAATTATTGTGATATAGCTGGGTGACGTTCGATAGAGACCATCACACTTATTCATGAGATATATTCAAGTGCCTTCGTTAGCAAACCAGATTCTGGATTGCCGGAATCATACTTCTTTTGGCCACCAGCGTTAGCTGTGGTGGTATTTTAGTCGCCTTCACCGTCGCTGCAGCTTACCACTTTGTCGACGCTGTCCGGGTTGTCCCCCTGCGGCTGAAGCCGTGCCCTACCCGACATTGCATACATTGAGCTGGTAGACGATCGCTTCCACAGCAGTATTATCATGTATAAAAACAACCACGAGGAATCCCAATGTGAGCGGCCCTCCCTCTTGTCTTAACCGATAGCCGTATGCAGGTCTGGCGAAGGCGATTCGACTGTCGCTGAACAACACTTCAGTGAGTGACCGGCCTACGTTGCGCGGGCTGCGAAAACAAGAGATGAAGATGTAGATGGAAATTGGGTATTGTCCACCCAAAAACACTGCACAGCCACGACGCGTTTCAATGTAATTTTCATCTCATCAGGTGGAGACAGCAGGATTTGAACCCACGACCATTGGAATAGCAGCCAACACTACTACCCCTTTGGCTACCGGGTCACGATGGGCAACACTTTTTGTGAAGATGTGTCTTGCAGACACGCCGACACTAGATGAGAGGCAGGGGGCGATTGCTCAGCTGCAAAACGGCAAGTGCACCGGAGCCGACGAGATGCCGCCAGTACTGTTGAAACATGGAAGGCCGACATTAGTACATGTGCTGAACCGCTTGGTGCAACATGCGTGAATTGAGGAGGAGGTGGCCGTTGACTTGAAGGATGTCGTTGTGCGGCCAATGTGCAATGGAAAAGGGAGCAAGCAATGTTGTACGAATTTTCGTGGATTTAACTTGCTGTCGTGTGGAGAAAGTGATGGCCCGAATCCTGCTCAATCGCCTCGTCACTCAGATAGTTGAACCAAACGTAGCGGAAGAGTAATGCTCGGGTCTCATCAACATCGATATGGTGTTCGTGGATCCTCATTTGTAGGAGCAGTGCAAGGAGCGACACAGGCCCTTAGACTCAGTGTCTGTTGACTTCACCAAGACATTTGATACGGTAAACCGCGAGGCATGGTGGCTGTCGTTGAGTAACTGGTTGGTTGTAAGTTTAATTGAATGTTACCACAGTAGTATGCGGGCGAGGGTGCAGTTGAGTGGACAGATTTCGGATGACTTTCCTTTTGTCTCTGATGTGAACCAACAGTGTCTTAGTTCCCTCTCTGTTCAACATCTATATGAATGTAAGGTCTAGTACTTTTGATACTGTTTGTGACTACGGTGTTCGTATGAAGTACCGTACTGTTGGGGTTGCTGCAAATCCGTCGTTTTGTTGTGTGAAGCCTAGTCTGTTTGAGAATCATCCATATATTGCTGTTCTCTGAGAACCTTGCGTTGTCTGCACTCAGTGCGAATGATTTGCTGTACATAATGTCCGCTCTCGCTTCGACAGCGGCTAAATTTGGACTCACTGTCAAAACAAGCTAGACTGGTTGTATTTTTCAGCCTTCACTAGGCATGGATTCCATCAGCGTGTCCCAAATCCAGGTTGCTGAGGACTTGTTGGAGACATCCTCGAAATTCTGCAGACTTAGGAACATAGTAACAACCGACCTGCAAATGAGGAGAAAGCTGCACATCGGCGTATTGAAGGCCGCTGCTGCATTCTGCGAAATAGAGAGTCAGGCGTAGAGGAATCCCCAGTTTAAGGTTGGGACGAAGCTGCTGATATACAAGTCTATGGTCTTGTCCGTTCTTCTATATGGTAGCGAAAGGTGGATGCTGTATCGAAAGGATGTCCGTTATTTCGAGCGCTTCCATCAGGCGTGCCTGCGTCGGATTCTACGCATCGACTACGTTGACCGATTTACGGACACGGAAGTCCTGAGCTGCAGGGACATGCATGTAGTGGACTGCATACTTCTGCTGCGGTACCTGAGTTGGATAGGGAAGATTAACCGTATGCATTCGACGTGGATACCCAAGCATACACTAAATGGATAACTTACTTCATGGAAGTGACACGTCGGAGAATCAAAGTTACGTTACCAGGACATGATCAAGATGAGATTATCACGAAATGTTGTTGATTTCAGAAGTTGGGCAGCGATGGCCGTTGATCGGCGCGCATGGCGGGAGCTACTCAAAATAGCTATTGCTCAGGTACAAGAAGGCATATAGTATACGGAAGTGAAACATCGGCTGAAGAAGCGACCGGCGCTGATGCAGTCTACGTCGCCGTCAAGCGCATGGTGTTCTAGGACATGTGGTTGCGAGTGCCTCAGTAAAGTGGGTTAAGTAAGCCACCAGCATGGCCATACAAGGCCGGCAGCAAAAAGACGAGTTGGCTAGTTATCTAATCAGCATCGGTATAGCGTCCGTAGGTTCGCTGCGTCCGCTTCCATACGACTTACCAACTCAGGCCAATAAGACGGTTGATATGATACTTGTGCTACATCATCTTTGCAATTGGTCTTTACATGCGTCAGTGTGTTGAGTTTCTTGCATTTCAGATGTTGCTTGATATCCCCGGTGTGGCTGTTCATAATGTGAATATCGCCAAGGTGCCTACCTGTCTAACACCTTTCACTCCGATTACTCGCTCCGACTTGTGTGTGTTTGGTACGCATGATTCCCAACCTACATAGACAGGAATGACACTGTTGTGCACCTTGAAGGAGTGTGGGCCGGCTCCGTTGATGAAACGTGGCTCCCGTCCACATGCTCCCCGGTCTTATTTTTTCAGGTTTACACTATATATGGGCTGTGTGAATGGAGCTGTGGGTGGTGCAGCATAAGCTAGCCATGGTCCCTCTGTCGGCGCAGGCGTCATGTGGCTGTCCTATGGAGAAAGCAGTGAGAGTCAAATCCGTAACCGGATGCGGTCAACCATCCAAATTGGCCAAAAAGTAGAACAATTTGGTTCAAATGCGATATTAGTGATGTGCCACCAGCAAGTTTCCCGCGCGATGTTTGACTTGCAGTTGTAAAGGTTACACATATTTGTCGAATGTAACTCAAATAATCAGTGTGCTTCGCAAGAGCTTTTGTTCTTCACTAACACGACGTCATTGCCACATCGTTCCCTTGCTTAAGGTTATTAATACGAACATACTTGCTTTTTCAGGAGCAGGAAGAGGAACGTAAACTGAAAGAGGAACTGCTGAAGGAGTCACAAGTACATGACCGGCTCCTGGTTGAGTTAACCACAAAATATGATCAGGTTGGTGTGCTTTATGAGGATTGTTAAGTTTACTGCTAGCATAAATCAAATATAGCGAGGCCATAGACGGCATGCACTTGTACTCAGAGAGAGATATAGAGACCATACTCTTCGCGTCTACATCTGTAATCCGCGAGTTACCCGGCAAATTTCTGGTATAAATCTATTTGACAGTAATTTCCATGGAAAAAGTGATTTTGAAGATAAATCCACTGCATTCATTTTGTTTGTTCATGCACTGAAAACAACGGCGAAGTGAGCCGAGCAATTAAGACTAAAAGGATTTGTTTTTCTAAGGTGTGAATTTCGTCGATATGCCGCTGGCAATAAAATTTTGTCTAAAAATCATTAGCTCCAAACACGTTAACGCGTCTTCCACTTTTTTCTATATCATTGTCCCCAGTGAGAAAATAATAAAGACCTCATCTCTCAGGGTTTTCAGTTAAATGTTATTGTAAAATGTACTTAATTTTCAGAAGGTTTTGAATACATATGTTTTTGTAGGATTTTATTATGACAAAGTTTCGCTCTTGACGGAAAAACCTCTTCAGGCCAGGTGAGTCGGTACACAATTGGCTTAGCTTTTCATTGGAAAGTAAGGTAAAAATTGCAACCAATAACATGAACGATTGGATCATAGTGTTACAAATCAATAGGTCAAGTGGCCATTCTAGTGTAACAACAATACGGAAGGTATATTACTGAAAATGGGTTTAAAATTTTCTGTAAATAAGTCCCAAGTACTTGCAGAAGAGGTGATTACTAGCGTTGAGACCGTGACGACGAAATTACCAGTTCAACAGCAGAGAATGTTCGTGCACACGTGATAGACATCATCAGATTTCAGAAGCATGGGGAGCCAATTCTTACAACAGCTGAGCAACCCACATTCAAGGCCCTAAGATAAGATCCTACCATCATCCTCAAGAAAGCCGATAAAGGCAAGATCGTAGTGATAGTGAAAAAATCGAATTGTGGAAAAAATGGAACAACGTTTAGCAGCAGGGCCCTACGAAGTAATTGAAGACAAACCCATAGCGTCCATAATGAATAAGAGTAAAACGTATGTAGGAAACTACCTGAGGAATGTGATGGGCAACCTAGGGCCTGGTAAATGCTATAGCGTATATCCGAAATCAACGATTCCACCTAGGATCTATGGGCTGCCGAAAATATATGAACGCAAAGTTCCCTTTTGGCCCATTGTAAATGGTATCGGTTCTCCAACACAAGAACTAGCCCGAGATTTGGTAGGATTGTTAAAACCTCTAACAGGGAGAACAAATACGTTCTTACGGAACTCTTTTGAGTTCGCGTGAAAGGGATCAGGTCTGGCCGTCGCGCCAGAAGAAATAATGGTTAGTTTCGACGTTAGCTCCCTATTCACTAACGCGCCCAAGGATGACGTATTGGGTATAGCACAGCGTTGTCTTACTGAGGTCAATAGCCTGGAGCAGCGAAGGAAACTCACGGTCGACCAGATAAGCGATGGAATTAAAGGATACCATAACATGTCATATTTCACTTTCCAGTCGTGACTGTAGTCTCAGGAACAGTGACTTGCCTTGGGCACACGAATATCCCCCGTGTTGGCAAACCCGTACACGGAATAGTTTGAGAGGAGGGAGCTGACAAACTCCAGTTGTTCGCCAAAAATTTGGTGGCTGTATTTGGATGATACATTTGTGATTTTAAAGCGGGATATGGATGAGTTTTTAAACCATCTGAACTCCATTAATGGTAACGTAAACTTTACTATGGAAATAAAAGCTTGCGGTAGCACACTGCCATTTCTCCATGGCCTAATTCATAGGAACGGTGGACGCTTAAAGACGACGCTATATCGCAAGCCGACAGATACAGACGCAGTTCTTCGTTACAGTTGGGGTCAACCAAAACAAGTAGGCCTCTATCGCATCCTCTCTGTTTCACAGAGCCCGGACTCTGTGTGCAGTGGAAGAGGACAGGAAGGCCGCTCGTAGGGATATGGTGAGCAAATTAATAGACAGTGGATATCCGAGACGGTTAGTGAAACGCCAGTTGCACAGAGCTCTTAATCCACCTCCGCGACGTACAACAGAGCGGATTAGGCCGGTGGGAATCCTCTACAAAAAGGAACCTCAGAAGTAATCAGGCGAGTAGTAAACAGGGAGCAAATAAGAGTGGTTTCCAAAAGTTTCAAACGGTCTACTCAGCTCTTGTGCGCTTGAAGGGTCCGCTTCCAATAGATAGGACGACGAACTGTGTTTATAAAATCAATTGAAAAGACTGTGAACACTTGTATACGGGGCAAACAACGAGAGAGCTACGTACGAGGATAGCAGGACGTAAGACGCGCGTTTCGCGTCCACCAAGAAATGAGCCTGAATACAGGGCCTTACAAAAATATTCAGCGGTGGCCGTACACGCGCTAGACTTAGGACACGAGATTGATTGGGACAATGTCGAGATATTTAAGCGGGGATTAACAGCAACGAGCCAAAGGTTGATTGCTGAGGCGATCGAGATTACTAAGACTAATAACTGTGTGAACGGAACGGACGTCGTGGAGTTATCGAAGGCGTGGCTAACTGTGTTATCCCTGTCAGTCAGAAATGGTGTCGGTTGACGAACTCAGGTCGGAGCATGAATCAATAGCTGCAGGGAAGGAATGTCTCACATGTGAACGGCCGGTGACGTAGATCGAAAAGAAACGTTCGATGCTTCTTGTCTCACTAGAATGGCCACTTGACCTATGGACCTTCAACACTATTATCCAATGGTTTATGTTATTTCCTGCAATGTTCACCTTACGTTCCCATGAAAAGCAAGGCAATTGTGTATCGATTCACCTGGCTTGAAGAAGCTTTTTCGTCAAGAGCGAAAGGTTATCAGAATAAAATCCTACAAAAACCGATTTGTATGCAAAACCTTCTGAAATCTTGAGATCCCAGCCGGTTCGAAACATATTCCGAGATATTTTATTTTGATTTATTTTCTTAAGTACAGGACAAACAACAGCTTAGTCGTAAGAAGAGAAACGGGTTTCCAACCAACAACCGCCTTCAGTTGTCGGCATCGGGTGGTGGTTTGTGCTGGCAAATAAAGTGTTTTACAAGTCATAGTTAGATCTGATGAGAACTTAAAAAGATGACGAAATCAAGTCGTAGAGACCATGCAACTTAGGTCAGGAATTTTCACTGATTCATTTCAGCTGCTCACAGGTCAGATTAGTCAAACTCCAAGTCGAAAGGTGTCAGACGATCACTTCAACTCATTTGGGGCTCGTGAGTGGTGCGTATCCGCTCGGCCTCCAGCTGGGAATCGGCCCCATAATCGCCAACAGCTTACGCTGACTAGCCAGCAGCTTATGTCACTGAGTCATGGGGGTCAGAGGCAGACCGGATGAGCTTGCAAACTAACTCCGATATAGCTCAGCATATCCTCCACTACCATGTATGTTCCTACCATCGCAGAGGACAATGGCTGGCCTCCGATGGTACGTCGTCCACTACGCAGTGAATATGCTCCAACGGCATTTGAAGACTGTGAAGCCATTTCAAGCTTTCGCGACCCAACCTACAAGTCCACCAGCTAAAGTGGAAAAAATGCATTTCTGACTGGATTGTCATTGGAATTTCACTTTTTCAGGGGATCGTTAGCTGAAAGCCCCGTAATTTTATTTTTAAGATTAATAAATATGACTTTTTAATGCACCGAGGTTTATAAGTCAACGAATAATGCTCGTGAGTGTTTGGGGACAGTGCAAGGCACCCAAGTGGTGTGTGCGCGTGTGTCTCAGGCTTCCACCGGTACATGAGGTACACACACCAACAACACGGTGAATCCATCGATACGTATGTAGTCCATCGACACGCCTTAGCACGATAATCTCATTTGTCATTATTCATCAGACTTTTGCCCATAATAACGCGTTCCTCCACTGAGATCTAGTCACCGAGGTACCAGGCAGTCAAACTCTTAGTCGATTACAAGGATGATTTCTAAGATTATGTGTATGCCGACCCCGTGTCAGCCATCAATAAATGGTTCGTGGTATAGATAAAAGAAGTCTGGTCCTATTCATCAAACTAACAGGTGGGAGCCTTCTTAGCTGTCCCGATTGTCTTAGCGCTGCAAATTGCCTCACTCATGCACAGAGACGTTATTCAATTGGGTACCATTGTTTTCCAGGTGTCGATGTTGGAAAGCGCCCAGTTGGTAAGCAATTACATTGCCTACCAGAGGTGATGTTCAAAGCGCCTTTTACTCCTGAGAAATAAGTTCCCGTGAATGTACATATGAGATACAGTCTGCATGCACTTGCCATCACGAACTCTGAACTCGTTCAGCTTCTACCAAAGTCCTCTGTAGAAACAATGAAACAATGGAGCAGTGGTTTTCTGCAAGTAAATAGCCGTAGCTTTACAGGTCCCGCAGGTTGATCATGGTGAAAACTCAAAATATAGGATAAATTGTCAGCAAATTAGGGTTCACGCCAGTGGACTCATCATGGTATTAGTAAGTGCAACTCCGCTGCAATTCAAGATATGTTCGATAACACACATGTGTATCTGTTTACACACGCATATGTATCCGTTTACACCGAGTTCGTGAGGGCTTGAGCGCACAATATTTCTCTTCCTCCTGTTATCAACAAGTGAACTGAAATCAAATCAGGTAATGTAGGTGTTGTAATGCGTCGTGGAGTCGTTTTAAAAAAAATGAGTAGCGTGGTCGCCGAAATGACAAAAGTCAATAGAGCGTTCCAGCAGTGACAAATTCAAAGGGAAACATAGTTCCGGCGGCATTCCAGCCGACTGTAAAGCGCAGCCAGTTGCAGCTTGTGACCCCTCAGTTTTATGCTACGGATTAATTTCAGGAGGTGGCGGCAAGCGTGATCGTGGTTTTTTAAGATCTGGAACGTCAGAACGTGGTTACCCCGTAGACAACGATAACTTCCGCCATGCACTCCTAGTGTTTTTTTCGCAGATGGTACGGCAGGTGGAGCATTCCCTTAA